GGAGATCAGAGGACCCAAGCCCTCCTCCCATCTCTGTCTTTGATTTGCTATGTGGCCTTGAGCAAGTTTCCTTGCCTTTCTGGTTCCCAGAGGTCCTTTCTGTACTACAAGGGGTGGTTTCTGAGCCCCAGTGAGCTTTGCCCAGGCTCCTGGCGGATGTGATCCCCAGAGGGGTATGTGGCAGGGGCCCGGGTCAGGAAGCCTGGTCAGGCCTGGTGTCCTTCCCAGTTGGGGCAGGTAGCTGCCCCTGCCGAACATGTGGCAGCAACTGTCTGTTTCATGCTGAGGTTTATGAGGAGAGGCCAGGCCTTTCTGAGAGGAGGCACAGGGTAAAAAGCCTTTGTTCCTCAAAAATTCCTGCTCCCTTTGGCCCTGCCTTGTCTGTAAGCATAAACAATGTTGGGACTGAGCCCTTCCAGGAAGTGGCTCACCACTGCCGAGAGCTGCCCACTGGCCTGTCTACCCCTCCATCCACTGCCTCTTCCCCGCTGCCCCACAGGCCATTTCTCCCCTCTGACCCACAGGAGGGCAGTGCTAAGGCCTGACACTGGGCTGGGCTGAGCTGGAGGCTCTGGGGGCCAGGGGATTTCTCCTGCTGACTACAGGCTGAGACCTCGTGGTGGGGCACACTTGGGAGTGACAGACAGAAAAGATGAGCCAAGTGTTACCTTGTAGACAAGCCTGCTGAACCTAGCCTCCTGCCCCTCACATGCTGGAAACTCTTTGGAAAGTCCTGCCTCTTCCCTGTGCCTCAGTTGCACTATCTGTTAAGTAGGTTGATGACATTCCCTGCCCCGCAGGGTTGTGAGAAGGGTTGAATGGGGCCTGGCAGGCTGTGGAGCCCTGAGCAAAAAGCCTAGCACGCAGGCGGTGCTTCATAAATGTCTGTTCTCTTCTCTCTTCCCTTTGTCCTCTGCCAGCATCTTCAGAGCTTCCATAACCTTCCTCTGTCTTTCTCGGCTCCTCCCTGAGAATTTCAGAAGGTAAAGATACCTTATACTGTTCGTTTTTTGCCACCTCCCCCACAACCCAGGGAGATCAAGCCCACGCTCTACCCAGGCCTCCCTCCCATCTTTGGAACTTTTCTTCTTGTAATTTACGCCCATTAGTCTCAGCCCTAGTCTCTGCATCACCCAGAACACCTCTCCTCCGTCTCTCTGTAAGTGCCTTAGGAGAGAATCATACTGAAATTGCTGTGGTTACTGAGTACTTGGAAGCACTTGCAGTCAAGCCACTGAGCTAAGACCTTCATGTGCATGAATGCATCACACCCTTCCAGGAGCCCAGGAAGCGGGCCCTTTATCATCATCCCCAGTTTCCAGTTGAGGAAACTGAGGCACAGAGAGATGGAGTAACTTGCTGAGAGTCCCCTAGAAAGTCACAGGTAGAGCAGAATGCAAGCACATCATCTGGTCCTGAGGTCTATGATCTGAGACACGTCCCGTGCACTGGGGTGTCAGAGCTGGGTGCTCCCAGTGTCTGGTTTGACAGTAGTGTGGGAATGGTGTGCTGAGGACTGCTGGTCCTTGGGAGGCCTGAGCCCCCAGCTGTGATGGACGGCTCCAGAACAGCTGATTTCCTGATTACATGGTGTGGTGATGCTTCCCGACTCACTCCCTCGCTCTCCTCTCTCATCTTCCTGCTTCTCCCTTTGCTGCACGCTCCATATCTTCTTTATTTGTGTGGGCTTCCTTCCTGTTCATTTCTGAAACAGAGAGCCTTTGGGAACCAAATTGTTAGTCCTGCTCCAGTCCTCACCCTTTGCTCTGCGGAGTGCCCCTGGGATGCCTTCACCCTCTGATACCTTGACCCCTGCCCCTTGTCCTAGCTGTGTGAGGCCAGGTGCCAGGTCCTGTCAGTCTTGAAACCAAGAGGCCTGCAGAACTAGACGCCAGAGTGGACCTGGCTGATGATGGCCCCCACATTTCCCCCTTTGATCAAGGAGTCTCAAATTCTACCATTGGTGAGGCACCCCGTGCCTGTCTCTTATCCTCCTTTAAAATGTATATGCCTTTAAGAACAGGGACATAGGGGAATGAGTACTTGATTTCAGGATTACTGAAGAAGGAAGCTGTAGAAGCTGGGGTTACTTAGAAGCTGTGGGTACCAGGCACCAGGTGGAAAAACGGACACCAAAAGAGGTTAGAGGGCTTGTTGCATACCCACTAACTTGACACCAACAGAGCTCACAGTGCCTTCAGAGACATAACTTGGCCCCTCTACTGCAAATTGACTGGACCCTGGGCTTTGACTCCGTGCTGAGTGCTCTCCTGGGCATAGCTAGCCTCTCTCTCAGACCTGACCAGTGCTGAGAACCAGCCTTGCCTCAGCTCAGACTGAACCTTCTCCCCAGGATATCTCAGCTGCCAGGAAGGCCAATAAGGATCCAAAAGATATTAAGCAGTGGGCCCAAGAAATCAGGGCAGTGTTTCTGTCACTTTCTAAGTTTAAATTTACACACTCAGTACGTACACACTTGAGGTTTTTTTTTAATTTACACACTTTTTAGTGCTTTCCTGAAATTCTAGTAGGCTGTTATCAAGTGGCGGTAATGGCTCCTAGGAAAAAGAGACATGATTACCTAAGGAAGAAATTATCATCTTATATCCCACTATTGTTCTACATTAGTAAATAGTAATAATAGTGAATACTCCTATTTTACTTTGATGTGCCAGGCACTATTCTAAGTGTTTTCCATGTATCATTTCATTTAATCCTCAGAACATCTTGTATGATATTTCCTGTCGTTATCCTTGTGAAGTAACTTGCCCAAGATCACAGAGCTAGGATTTGGATCCAGAGTCTGTGCTCTTAACCATGATGTACAACATCATAAATGGGCAATTACCCAGGGAAACGTTACTGTGGAAACCGATCATCTCATAGCCCAGTGCTGCTTCAACTCAATGGCATAGGAATTCCCTGGAGCTTTTGTTAAAATACAGATTCTGATTCGGTGGATCTAAAGTGGGGCCTGAGATTCTGCATTTCTAATAAGCTCCCAGGTCACACTGCTGCTGCCAGTCTAGGAACTGCACTTTGAGAAGTCACCGTGTAGAACCTGTGTTTAAGCCTGTGTCCAACTCAAAGCCTGCCAGTGCCAAGTAGGTGACATAAATGCAGGGATAGTTGACGTGGAGTATACATGTGCAGTTGCTTTGATGTGGCAGCCACTCCTCGACCTCAGCTGATAGTTGTCGGCAAGAATTCTGGACCAATGTGGTCAAACTTCTATGTGAAATCTCCCATTTTCAAATACTGGAGCAACTAATTCAAATTATAAAATGCTATGCAGCATGAATGTTCATTGCAGCATTATTCGTAATAGCCAAAAATTAGAAACAACTCAAATGTCTGTTGTCTGATGAATGAGTAAATAAAACATGGCATGACTATACAGTGGAATATTATTCAGAACAAGAAGGAATGAAGTACTGATGCCTGCCACAATGTGGATGAATCTTACAAACATTGTTCTAAATGAAAGAAGTCAGACACAAGAGGACAATTGTTGTGTGATTCCACTTACATGAAATATCTAGAATAGGGACATCGATAGAGACAGACAGTAGATTAGTGGTTGCCTAGGGCTGAGTAGGGTGAGGGAGCATAGGATAGGGAGTGACCCTTAATGGGTACAGGGATTCTTTTGGGGAGTGACAAAAATGTTCTAAAATTCGATTGTAGTGACGATTGTATAACTCTGTGAATATACTAAAAACATTGAACTGTATGCCTTCAATCAGTAAAATCTAGAGTATGTGAATTATATCTCAATAAGTCTGTTTAAAGAAAAACACCATGTAGGAGAGAGCTAGTTTCTTTAATGTATAAAGTACAGTCACAAGTCAGCACGAAAAATACCAAACCCCGGAAAAAAATCACAAAGGATATGAACTAACAGTTCACAAAGGAAACACTAATGGTTCTCAAATGCACGGGAAAATTCTCTCTCGCTCCTGTTACAAGACGTACATGTCAACGCCACTCAGATTTTCTGCCTCTGATTGGCAGTGATGGAAACCCTGCTGGTGAGGATATGGGATTTTAAGTTGGTACACCTGCATTGGCGGGGGTGGGGGGGAGTGGTAATTTGTCATTATCTTTAAAAATTAAAACTGCGCATACCCATTGGCTCAGCAGTTTCATTTCCAGGAATTTATCTCACAAATGTACTCTCATGTGTGCAAGATGATATATATATGCAAAAGTTATTCATCGTAGCATTGTTTGTAAGAGTGGAACAGTGGAAACAACCCAGGTGTTCTATATTAGTGACTAGCAAACATGGTGGAACTTGCATGGACCCTGCAACTGTTACACAGAATACAGTACCTCTCTTTGTATGATGTGGGGAAAAGATATATTATTACATACATCTTATAATAATGATAATAATATGTCCAAGATATATTATTAAGTGGAAAAGGGAAGATGCAGAACCAAATGTATAATCTGTTTGTCTATGAGTGATGGAGAAGAAAGAATGTGGTGTACATATGTATACGTTGCCTATGTTTATAAATGCCAAGCCATCTCTGGGGTAGTCTAAAGGAATTGATTGCCTCCGGGTAGGGGAGCCGGTGGCTGGGAGCAGGGCTGAGGAGGGGCACACTGTCCCCGCAGACCAGGTTGCACAGGTTGCCTCTTCCATGCCCATTTAAACTGCACCACCCTGTGGCCTAAAGAACAACTGTGTGTAGATCCACGCGACCACCAGCTGCCTTCTTATGACGTCTCAGTTCAAGAAATGATTTCTAGCCACCATCCAGTACTTTGATCCCTTAAATCTAAAAATGATGTGCACCACCTGTTCTCTGTCCCCTGTGCAGGTCTCCCAGCCTTGGGGTTCCTGTGTGTTCTCTGGATTGGGGACAAAAGGTGCCTGTGCATGGGGATGCAGGGTTTGAAGACTGAAGAGGGAGACCGTGGGGACGCTGTGGGGGCGTCCTTTTGGCCTGGTGGATCCCAGTCCTTTGTGTTTGCTTCCTACCCTCTAGGCACGCCCCAAAGGCGAGGGTCTGACCCCTTACCAGGGCAAAAAGCGCTGCTTCGGCGAATACAAGTGTCCCAAGTGCAAGAGAAAATGGATGAGTGGGAACTCCTGGGCCAACATGGGACAGGAGTGCATCAAGTGCCACATCAACGTGTACCCACACAAGCAGGTGAGTGGGCGGGCTGGGGCAGCAGTGTGTGTTTGTGTAGGGGGCAGTTCTCTGAGGGACTGAGGGAGGCTGCCTTTTTCCCTTATTGCGGCACAAGGTGAGGATGAGGCCAGATCCAAGTTGGCCCTTTCTTCGGCTCATGTGAAGCGGGGGAAGGGAAGAAGGCTAAAGGAGCAGCTGTACCAAGACCCTGAGACCCCAGGTGAATTTTAAAACTAATGAACTGGGGTTGCTGTTGTGAGCCAAACAGGGGTACAAAGGCAGCAGGATGCTGTAGAAAACATGCATTTCATGCATTTATTCGTCCTATTGACTCATGAATACGGGGCAGCTACTGTGCAGGCCCTGTGCAAGGGGTTGGTGGCCAAGGCACATGTGGGCCTGCCCAGGTGCAAAGGGATTGAGGCCGCTCATCCCAGGGAGGACCTACTCACTGCAGGCTGCACAGAGGAGGCCACATTGACTCTGGGACCTGAAGGAGAGGAGGAAGCTAGACCTGTTGTAATTGAAGGGATGGCCTTCCTAAGAAGAAGGTACAGCAGGTGCAGATGCCTTGAAGCTGTAAGGATTTGGGGTGCCCAAGGCCCAAAGCTCAGTGAAGGAGCAGGAATGTGGAGGAAGAGGAATGGCATGAAAGTTAAATGGGGCACCCACCAGAGCCTTAGGGGCCACACGAGGAAACCCCTGAGCCACAGGGCTTTCAGCTTCATTTTGAGATGACTACTCTGGTTGTGTGTGGAGATTAGTTTTGGTGGGGCTGGGAGATTGAAAGTGGGGAGACCAGTGGGAAAGCCATGGCCAAAGTCCCGTGTGAACTGGAAGAGATCTGAACTAAGGAGGTGGATCTGGCCCCAGGTCCAACCCAAAGTGTCCCCAGATTGGATGTGGAAGGTGAGGGAGGGGCAGGAATCCGGGAGACAAGTCACACTTTGGGCTTGAGCCCCTGAGTGGATCGAGGTGTTTGTTCCTGAAGTGGGCAGCCTGGGCTGGGGCAGGGGGTGGTGGGACACAGGTGTCGCAGAAAAAGCAGAAGTTCTCTGATACGTGTGTTACATTGAGATGTTCGTGAAAATCCAAGTTGAGATGTCGAAAAGGCAGTTGGATTTGTTATTCTGAAGCTCAGGTGAGAAGTGAATGTGGCTCTTACATAACTGGTGTCATTGGCCTGAAGATATTTAGGGACTGGATGGGATTTCCTGCAGAATGTAGACAAAGTAGAGAAGGGGTTCCCCAGACCAGGTGTTGGGGAATCCCAGCCCTGGGTGGTCAGATGGAGGAGAAGGATCCAGTGAGGAGAAGGAGAACCCAACAGCGTGGAGCACTGTTCGAGGGGACAGGTGGTGGCTGGTGCTAAGGTGTCAGGTATACTGACCATGGAGAAGTGCCCCTGAGATTAGGAAGTAGTCCTCAAACTTTGTGGGACATCACTTTTACATGGAGAACTTGTTGAACTATGGCCAAGGTTTGAGAACCACATAGGGTGAAGTGGAGGTGACAATTCACAGTGGACCTGTCATCCAAGAGGGGGGAGGTTTGTTGGTCCAGGCTGCAGAGGGAATACCTTCATCGTCCGCTCAAGGGGATTTGATTGTGGAAAGAAGCAGAGAAATGGGACAGTAGCTGGAGTAGGGAAGGTGGCATTGAGATGGGTGTCATGGAGATGAGAGAGCCTGGAGCATATTACAGGCAAATGAGAATGATCTAGAAGAAAGCAAAAGGCTGATGATCCAGGGACAAGAGGGGGACACCTTATGGTGGGCACAGGAGGGAGAGAGGTGGGGCTAACTAGGGAGGTTGGTGGGTTTGATGGTGCAGAGAAGAGGAACTTCACTTCCAAGGCTAATTCTCAGTGAAGTGGGGCACGAGGTTTTCAGCTAAAAGTGAGGGTGAGGTGGGGTGTGGCGGGCTTGAGGAAGGACAAGCGAGGAAGTAGGCCTACCAGAGAAACCTAGCTCGGCTGCCACGCAGTATCCCAGGCCCAGGGGATGTTGAGATCATAGCTGTAACCAAAGCTGTCAGTCTAGTTCTGTCTCGCTCCAGCAGGGTTCACTGGGCAGGTGCAGGCCAGAGACAGAGGACAGGGGTACAGGGGCAGAGGTTTGCTGAAAGAGTGTTTCAGAGGAAAAGAGATCGAAGAGTTGGGCATGTTTGGAAAAGTGTGATGACAATGCATGACCCTGGGATGTCTGCTAGGTGGCTGGGAAGGGAAGCCAGAAGGGCCCTGATGGAGAGCTGGGGCCAAGACTGGGTGCACTGTGGAGCCAATGAGCTGGACAGAGAGCAGACTTCTGAAGAAGACCAAGTCCAGGGTATGGCCAGGGGGGCATTGGGAGAGAAGGTCTCTGCTGATGAGGTGATCAAGGCCCTGAGAAGCCAGGGTGGGGCAAGTCTTCCCTGTGTAGGGTGTCACCAAGAAGGATGGCAGGAGCAGGGGCAGAGAAAGGAGGAGGGAAAGGGAGGCAAGCGGGGTGGGGGAGGTGGGCTTTGGGAGCTCTTAAGGAAGGTTCCCCTGAGGCAGTGAGGTCAAGCTGAGTGGGGAGTGGCGGGTCATACTAAGGGGGCTGGGTGGGAGTGGCAGAGAGGGGAGAGTACACTTCTGGTGAGGGAATAGCAGGTGAAGTGGGTAGGACAGGACCTGGCACAGAGCATTGGAGGAGCTCAGGGGTGAAGCAGAGTGTAGAGGGAGGGCCAGCTCAGAGACCACAGAATTTGGTCTCTATCCTACTAGGAGTGACTAGAGCCGTCCCAGAGGACTCTCGTGGTTGAGACATTTTGTAATTTTATGACCCTTGTGCTGGCCTCCATTCCCTTTGTTTGTAGACTCTCCTTGCTCTGCTCCCAAGGATTCCCATGGTTCCCATCACCGACACTGTCATACACAGGCAAATAGACTCGAAACTGGCTATGGCGGCCCAGTGGACGCGTATGTCTTTAGTGGAGGGTCCTGGCCCACAACCTAATGGCGCTGAGGGAGAGACTGAGGCCTAGTAGTGCCGAGACAGGCCTGATGACCTGGTGGGTGGGCACAGGGCACATGACATTCACATAGTGTTTTAGGAGCATGTCCGGAGAGTGGGGCCAGGGACGGGCAGTCTAAAAGAGACACAGCATCCTTGTTCCTGAAGTCTTCCAGGCAATTCCTGAGAAGGTCTGGGACCCCCATCCAGAAATACCTTTCGCGCTGTGTCTGACTGTTGGCACACAACCTTTGGGGTTGAACTCCGCTCTCCCAGGGGCCCTGGGGCATGGCAGGTGCCCTTCAGAGAGCTCATTCTTTCTCTTACTGGACACGCTTTGTAGAGGGCTCCTTGTGAGCCAGATCTGTGCAGGCACTGAAGAAAGACAAAGGTCAGGGGCTGCCAAGCCTTCCAGGAGCCTCTTCTCCAACTAGAGAGACAGGATTCGGTCAGACAGGGTTAGCAACTGGCATTCAGAGAACCTTGGCCCGAATCACCCTCTATGTGCTGTTTGCTGAGCCCCTGCACACTATTCATGTGTGCTCTGCCCTCAAACTGGGTGTTCTGTTTATCCCCATTTCACAAGGAGGGAAAACACAGTCCTGAGAAGCCACATGGCCTCTCCAGGGTCCCAGGTGAGAAGTGGTGCCTCAGAGTTGAACTTGCACCTGTGTGTGGAGACAGTCTATTGAACTGTTGGGAGCCGGGCTCTGAGGCCAGGCAGGCTCAGGCTCAAAGTGCTCAGCCATGCTCCCAGCGTGGGAGACCAGGTGGGGCCGTGGGTGGACCTTAGTGACCAGAGAGGGCTGAATTGGAAAAATTATAACAGCAGCTTGCAGTGACCGACACTCCTTTAAGCGCTTTATACCTGTTGTCCTCTCAGCCACCCCATGAGGTCAACTCCATTGTCTTCCATTTTACAGAGGAGGAAACTGAGGCAAGGAGTGTAAGTGACTTAACCAAGTCCAGTAGAGAAGCTGGGATTCGTGAAGAGGATCAAATTTGGGTCCGGTGGAAAATGCAGAACCTGGAGGGGGCAGATGAATGGACTAGGAGGGAGGCAAATTTGGGTCCGGTGGAAAATGCAGAACCTGGAGGGGCAGATGAATGGACTAGGAGGGAGGCAAGGAGCAGGGAGGGCAGGTCAGGGTGGCTGGCTGGAGAGGAGAAGGGCCAGTTCCTGCAGGGGTTCAGAAGTGTGGGTGCCTCGGTCTGTGCTGGGGGTCTGGGAGCCTCAGTCCTTATGACTCGCACCCCTCTGTGATCTACGCGGAGAGGCAGGGCGCAGCCCACGCACCCGAAGTTGGTGGGACCTGACTCCCAGCTGTGGCTCCAGCCTCCTCAGCCCCTGCCCCTTGCCATAGCATCCAGCAGGGCAGAGCTCCTCACTGTGCCCCTTGCACGATGCCAGGCCCATTCTCCTACCACCTAGCCCCTTAGTCTCCTCTCATGGGCTGGTATGCTTTTCTCATGTGGCTCTTCTCCCCTAGGGAGGTTGCACGCTGGGCAGGAGGGGTGAGGTGGCTGCCCCAACTCCACTTCCCAGCAGTCAGGAGACTTTGAAGAGCTAAGAGGAGGGGCATGAAGTCCCCACCCCCCAGCACCCCAGGGCGGGGAGGGGCTGCCCTTTTTCTCCTGCCCCCTGGGCTCTGACCTGTGTGGTATCCATCCCCTCTCCTCCCTCATTTGCCACATCTGTTTCCCCGACAGGCTCCAGCTGTGGCTCCCCGCTGCTGGCCCTGCCCACCATTCGAAGAAAACACTAATGGGCTTTGCCTCACTGCGGGGAGTGGGGACAGACCTGGGGTCATCAATCCCAGCTGCTGAATGTTTTCCCTCCACAGAGGGGCATCGTCTTGACAGCTTCCCCAGCTCCTCCACCCAGCGGCTGGGCAGGGCTGAGCCAGGAGCCTGGAGGGAAGGGGCACTGCTAGGGTCTCAGCCAAGGAGAGGGGATGGCGAGGATGTTGCAAGGGCGTTTCCACAGGGACTCAGCTGGTTTCCCTGCTCCCAGCCTTCTCCCAGCCCTGCATAATAATATAAGTAGTAGCATATGATATCAATACTGGTCCCTTTGCTCTTTATATGCCAGGCCCTGTTCTAATAACTTTACATATATTAACTCATTTACTCTGCACAACCACCCTATCAAGTCGTTGATTATTAGCCCCATTTTACGGTGGAGAAAATTGAGGCACAGAGAGGATAAAGTGACTTGCTAAAGGTCTCACAGCGATTGTAAGTCTCACAGAGGTCTCTATGGTTATACAGTATTTAAGACGGTCATCTCATTTGTTTCTCTCTCCATCACACATACAGCATCACACATACATCACACATACCTCCTACCCAGGTTACAGAAGGGCAAGTTGAGATTCTAGAGGAGAAAAGTCTTACCCGACAGCCCTCAGCAGACAGGTGAAGCTGCAGGCCCCTGGGCAAGACCCTTAATGTTTTGGAGCCTCAGTTTCCTCATCTGTAAGGTAGCTAGCGATGTGCCCCTCACAGAAAGTTGTGAGGTTAGGTGGTATGATTTATGTGGCAGTGCTTTGTCAAGTGTAAACCTTGGGGAGCAGGGGTGGCGTCAGGCCTGCTGACTTGGGCCTCTCTAGAGTCTCAGAAGACCGGTTCAGGGAGGAGGCCCTGGTCAGCACGAAGAGTTGGGGAGGGGAGCTGGAACCCAGGCTGGGTTTGGTCTGGGGGAGGGGAGACTTCAGAACTATCCACATCAGACAGTGCAATTGAGCAGAGTCTGTGTGGCCCCTGCATGGCTGGGATCACTAGGATGAGGGTACGTGGACCCAGATTCCAGCTCAAGATTGGGAAGCCTTTCTCACAGCACACACAATGAGCTGAGTTAGTGAGCTCCGCGAACAGGGAGCTCTCCAGCCCTGGGCATGCGGGTGATGCCCCAGTTGCTGTAGGTGTCCATCAGGTTGTCTGGGAGAGCCCTGGATATAACCTTCGTAGGCCTTCCAGCTTGGAATCCTGGCTTCAGCTTTTAGTGATCCTTTCCCAGCTGGTGTCTCCTTCCCACGAATAATAATAGTAATAATAATAATGAACAGCATGAACAGCTTCTATATGCTATGCTGTTTCCATTCATGCTCCTCATTGAGTTGTGACAATAATCTCCTGAGAAAAAAATGTTATCAACATCCCCTTTTATAGATGGAGAGATGGAAGATTGGAGGTCATGTGGCTTGCCCAAGGTCACAGAGCTGGTGTTCAAGCCCAGGGCTGACATAAAGCCAAACTCTGTCTCTGCTCCCCTGGTCAGGAAAACAGGTCATCTGAAAGCCACTTGAGACAAGGCCAAGGTTCCTGTCCTTTTCCCAGGCCTTCCCTGTGTGGCTCTAGGCCTGGAGGTGCTTGGATGGGCTTTATGACCCTGCATCAGAACCCTGCCTACCTACAGTCCCTAAGCTCATCTCTAGAGTCCCCGACTCTTCCATTCCTCAACTGCTCTGAGTGTCACCTTGAAGCCAGGCACTGCATATGTGGGCAAAGAAGCCAGTGCTCAACTTTTGATCCATTCGTGGTTTGGCGGGGGCAGTGCTCACTCTCAGCTTCCTTCCTGGACCATTCTGGTCACGGTCACTGGCACTGAGGTTCCCGTGCCCCACAGCAGCCTGCAGTTCCTGAGCCCTCTCCTCGGCATGTGGCTCTCAGCTGGCCCTGACCAGCTTCCTTTGAGTCCCCCCCAAGTCTGTGCAGGGGACCCTTCTGTAGGCAGGTGTTCTGGGTTGGGGCTGTGATTGCCAGCCAAGAAATTGTCTGCCTTAGGAGGTGTGCATAACAGCCTCCATAAAGTTCCCAGGAGAAGTCCTTGCTGGCTTTTGAGAGCCGAGAGGGCAAGAGGGAGCTGGGAAGCTCCCTATGTGATAGCAGTATGCTTATGTGTGCCTAACACTGCGCAGTTTACAAACATCCAGACATCTGAATCCTCCCAGTGCCCTACAAATGAGGTGTGATGATGGCCCACTTTACAGATGTGGAAACTGAGCCTCTCTGAGGTCACACAGTGAGTGAGTAGCATCGTAAGTGTGGCAAGTCACCTGCTTTCTCTGGGCCTCAGTTTCCCAGTTAGGAAACAGTGAAGTTCTGCTCATCCAGCCACTCACCAAACAGGGCAAGCACTGTGCAAGGCCCTGGGAAGAGGAGTGAGTCAGAACACCAGCTACTGACCTTGTGGAGCTACGGGCTCGCTTACCCCAAGCCTGAAGGGCCGTGATTACATCCAGATTGAGCTCTCCTTGAGTCCTGAGGCCGCAGGAGCAGGCTTTGGGGTGACAAGAGGCCAGGGAAGAAGTGCTGGGTGCTGGGAATCAGGAGAGATGGGCTTGGTTCTCCATTGCTCTCTGCCTTGGTTTCCTCACTTAGATAATGTCTGTGCACCCCTGTCCTGCCTCTGTCCTTGGCTTTTGTGAGCTTCAGGTGGTGGCTGCTCAGAGAGTACAGGAGGAGGGCAAAGTGGCATCTAGACCCAGGACTCTGGGTACAGGACCCTCTCCCACAGCCCTGGCCCCAGCCTAGGGCTCAGTCTGTGCCTCTGGGACACCAACCTACAACAGGAAAGAGGCAGGAAGGGCCGTAGGCGCCTTGGGAAACAACCTTGGTGACTACAGCCCTCTCTCTGGGCCTCTCCCTGTGTATCTGTCTCGCTCCTCCTGTCTGTCTGTCTCACATTCTCTCTCTGTCTGTGCCTGTTACTGCATCTGTCTCACTCTCTCTGTTTCTGTCTTTCCCCCCACCCTGCCCGGGCCATCTTCCTCCTTGCTCTCTGCAGAGACCCCTGGAGAAGCCTGACGGCCTGGATGTATCTGACCAGAGCAAGGAGCACCCCCAGCACCTCTGCGAGAAGTGTAAGGTTCTCGGCTACTACTGCCGCCGAGTGCAATGACCTGGATCTGGCCACGCCCGAAGCCGCCCTCCTGCCAGCCAGAGAAGATGCCACCTCCCCTGTGTTTCTCCGTGTTGCTGCATGTCCCCCTGTACAGGGGGGTGTCCTTGCAGACCTACGGGTCTGGGCAGGGGGATCTTAGGTTCTTGTCTCATGTGTGTTGACAAACAGTGTTACTGATATAGCTACCCCTGCAGAGGGCAGGTCTGTGTGGAGGGGACAGGGGTGAGCAGAGGTCAGTGCACAGATCTGTCCTGTCCCCTGCAGGCTCTCTTCCCCTCTGAGACATCCTTTGGGGTGAGCAGCCTTGTATTGGCCACAAGTGCACTAAATTTACTGTGAATCCCGAAGCCTGCAAGGGACCGTCTCCCCAAGACCAGCCAGGCTGCCTTCCACCCAGAGCCTTCCAGTTTACCCTGTGTGCAGAGCCACTCTCAGAAAGCCCTATTTGTCTGTCCTAAGTCAGCAATCATGGTGAGTTGACACCTATTCTAGCAGCTGCCAGGGAGTGGGCATCTCTGTCCCTTGCCCACTTTGAGCCCCAAACTTGACCATCTCTGACATCACTGGCATTGCACATGGGTGTTGCATGCCCCCTCATCCCATAGACCCAGAGGCCAGGGACAGGGAGGCATTGAATGTTGGACAGTGCCCCAAGGTGTGACCTGGGGCACATTAGGCAATGTCTCCCCCACCCACCACCACACGTGTTCCCCACTTGCTTGGATTTTGTCAGCCCTGTTCCCTTTCCTCTCCCTCCCCTCCTCCCATGCTGGTCCACCCCCTGATTAAGGTTGTGGGGCCCAGCAGGGAAGCCACTCTGTCAGGAAGGACACAGGCCTGGCGGTCTGGAGACCTAGGTTCAGAAGCTGGCCCCGCCACTGAGATGGTATGGAGCCCTGGGAAGGACTTTCCATCTCCAGGCCTCAGTTTCCCCACTAGTTAAGTGAGAGAGTGCCACTAGGGAGCAGAGAGAGGCCTGTTCCAGTTCTGATGTGCTCGGATTCAGCCTAGCTGGGTGCCACCTCCTGGAGCAGAGAGCTTCATTTCGAGAATTTCACCAGGGCCCGTACTCCACACCGTCACCCACCAGTTGGTCACCCAAGAGTTCAAGCTGAGGAATGCCAGTCCTCCCCTGAGGCCCCCTGCAGTCCTAGCCCTGCATGTTGTCCCTCACCCCTGCAAAAATGGACAAGGATCGCCCCTTCTCACACAGGGCAACCCTGAGACAAGCTACAGAACCCCTCGTTTGTAAAACGAGAACAATGATTTCCTACCTCCTGAGGGAGCAGGGAGGTCTCTTGCATGTCGCATTGGCCAGGGAGACACTGTCCTGGCTAGCAGTAGGGATCGTGCTCCCCTCCCTCCTCTCTCCCCTTGGAGAGCCCCATTATTATCGTCTTATCATCCTTCCTCTTAGGGAGAGAGAGCTGGCTGTCAGGACTGGGTCATTTAATTTCGCCTCAACATTATGCCTCTGAGGAAAAAAAAAAAAAGACCACGAAATGGGCCTGAAATTCAGTGTTTACCGTGGCTCAAGGACACCCAACTGGTGCCCAGTCGCCTTGTATTTTCAGATGAAAATGCTGTGTACAACTGAGGAATTACAGTGAAGTGTTATAGCCAGGGGTCCAGGGAGCGAGGCAAAAAGATGGAGTGAGTGGATTTGCAGCCAGGGAGCTGCAGAGTAGATTTCAGGGGGCTATGCTCTCTGAGCACTTAAAAAAAGTGCGTTTGCTCCAGCCTGAGCCCTCTAGCTGCCTGCCTCTGCCCACAGGGGCAGAATGCTGGGCAACCAACTGAACGCCCTCACCGCCCACTGGGAACGCCACTGAGGAATCCCTCCCAGCTGCTCCCTGCTCTCTCCACAGTGTCAAGGTGAGCTGGAGTTGCCCTGGCCCAAGGCTCTCTGTCCCCGAGGAGAAGCTGTTACTGTCAGTCATCCCAGTGCACTGCTAAAGATAATGTTCGCAGTGGTGTGCAGTGCGCTTGTCTCTGCTCCAAGGATCAGGCCCCAACCCTTTCAGGGTCCTGGCCCCACAGGGAGACCCTGGCCCCAGGACGCCTGGAGCCTGCCAACTGTGCTGCAATAGTGGAGGAAGCCCATACCCTAATAAGAGCCCAGGCTCCAGCCTGCTGGAGAGAGGAGGCTTCCACAGGCCAACAGGAGATAGGATATCACCCCAAAATGACCTTTTCAGTGGGCTTGTCCAGCTGGCAGCCATTGCCCCTGCCATCTGTGCAGAGCTGGCCACCATGAGGGCTGGCCCTCCTGCAGGAGGCAGCCCCTCCGCACGCCCCACTCCTGCACTGTTCTGGCTGAATTTGGGGCCTCTCTGTGGTCAGCAGGAGCCACTGCTGCCCAGGCTGGGTACGGTGAGGATTAAGTGCTCAGAGGGCCTGGGAGCCCGGGGGACAGGAAGGCGTGTGGTTTTAGTACGTTCAAAAGGGACAATCGCTTGCAGCTAGTGGATCTAGCGATCTAGTTGGGAGATAATGGTGTTTACCCCGTATGAAGTATTCAATAGTTCTACTTGTGAATTTGTATTTATTTTGAGTTATACTTGACACAGAATTCCTTTTTTAAAAAAAGAAAAATACTGTGTGTGTATTTTGAAAAAAAGTCATAGATGTTAAAATTTCTGCCTGGTTACCAATTTTTCTCACAACACTGAATTTGTTATCTTCTCCCGAAAAATCTTCACAGTGACTTTTGTCTGTATATATTTGAAGGCCTTTTTTTAAAAAAAGAAAAAGAAAAGAAAAATATACTTGCTCAATTTTTGAGATTAAAAAACACACAGAGAGGCATTTTCTAAACGTCAGAACTTTCAGGAGGGCAATAGAATGTCAAATGAAGATTTCTGGAAGTATTTTGCAAACCTTTTGGTTGAGCTACAAGAAAATATTTATGGTGAGAATTTTTCTCTTTTTCCTGTTGTTCTTTTGTTTTTTTGGTTTGATTTTTTACTATGCTTTGGTCTGTAAAAAGTATGCAACTCAACTACATTAAGAAGGAAATATTGTCTACATAGAATATTATATGAAGTTGGTACATAATTCTGATGAGGAAAAAAAATCTTTGCAATTCTTTAAGCCATATTGTTGTTTCCTTGGATGAAAATATCAGTATTAAGTAGCCAGCATATTATTCAAGTGCTTAGACTTATGTTCCTTTCCTGTATTTATACATATGTGTATTTTGGAAAGTATTGCCTTTTTTAAGGGAAGCTATTGTTAGATTAGTGAAGAAGGGAATGGTGACCCCTTTGAGCCTCTTCAGCTGAGGATAACCAGCACAGCATTGTAATGCATTCTCTCACACCTTCTTATTATTATCTTGTTATTGTTATTAATTTTGTAAGGGGGTGGGGAGTGGGCCAGGGGAAGAAGAAGCAGATAACTAACCAGCCCCTCTATGGCCGGCCAGCTCCAAAGATGGCCTCCTTATTCTGGTGGAGGACTCTCGATCAGCAGGGCCCAAGAAGGGAAGAGGAGGCAGGAGGCCGACTTCTCCATGCCTCTTTGGAGCTTTGCCATCTGAGCCATGCCTCTGGTCCCCATGCTCTTTGAACTTGGCTATGTCAGCCAGAGACCTTCCACCTGCCCTCTGACATCTAGTAGACTTGAATGCACTCTAAACAAATATTTACTCCAACATCACTACATTGTAGCCCAGCCCAGCTAACTCTGAAGTTGGGGAGGCGTTGGGGCCTTTAGGGAGGAGGCCGAGCCGGCCCCTGGGGCTGGTGGCAGCAGGCTCATTGTTCTCTGTTGCCAACCACACCGTTCGACCTCCTCCACTCCCGTATGGTGACCCTGTCCATGTCTGTCTCTGTTAATACGTGTGTGTCAAGCTAAAAAGACAAACAGAACCCGTGGGCCCCACTTGGAGGGTGTGTGGCGAAGGTTCCCGACCTCCCAAAAGGGCTGTCCTCGGGATGGCATTCCGTTGTGTGCCTTATTCCTGGAGAATCTGTATACGGCTTGCCTATAGAAATATAGCTTTTTATGCTGTATTAAAAGGCCTTTTAAAAGCAAGAGAGGCTCATGGGTTTCCTTGTTTACACAAGGCGTCAGTGGGGAGCCAGACGGTCTTGCAGCTGTGTGAGGCTGAGCAGGGTGGGAGGGACGTCAGGCTGCCCTTCTGCTCTCCCATGTCTGGATAATCTTGTCCTTGCCGTGCCTCCATGCCACTCATTTCCCTCCTTCCAGCCCCTCTTCCCCCAAGCGGACACTTTCTCCACGGGGAAGGCCCTCCCCAAGTTGGGCCCCAGACGGGGCAAGATTGTCAGCACATTAGGTCACACGTTAGCTCAGCAATGGGACTCCTGGGTGACCATATATAGGAGAGAATCTTCCTTAGAGACAGCAGCCCGGGGCCTCGCCGCTGCTGCTTGCACTTGGCCCTCTTGCCAAGACTGGGATTTGGGCCTCAGACGCTGGGTGTCACACAATGAGCCAAGTGAAGTGTCCAAGGCCTCCTGGGAAGTCCCCAGGAGAGGAAACAGAGGATCTTTCCTCTGAGCAAGGCCAGGACACGGCTGGGCTGTCACAAGTGAGGCTCTTGCTGAGGGCCACAGATGGGGAGCCACCGCAAAGCCAGCCTTAAGAAGCCGCCTGAAGACAGGGCCCTTCAGAAGGCCAGGATCAGTGCTCTAGTCATCCTCAATCTTGCTGCTCACCGGAATCACCTGTTGGTGGTTTAAAAACACCCAAGCCTTGATCTCACCCCAGAGACACTTAAGAAATTGGCTGGGTGTGTCCTCACCAGCTTCTTAAAGCCTCTAGACCAGGCCAGTGTGCAAGGTGAAGCGCCAGGCTTTGAAATGGTCCCTCATGGTCCTATGGGGCTGATGATGATGTTAGTGAGGCCAGTGGGCGGGGGGCTCCATCCCCACTGGAGGGCATCCCATTCTCAGCTCCAGCCAACTGCTGCTATCTAAAAATACACTGCGTGGATGGTGTGGGGTTGGGAGACAGGAAAACTAGAAATTCAGGTTGTTTTGGGGAAATTGCCAATTTTTAAATTTTGGGAACTTGTTTACTAAATGTTCAAATGGTACATAGCTCAGATCATACATCTGTGGGCTGGCCCTTGCCTCAAGAGTGTATGGAGCAAAGAAAACAAAATGAGTCCTTTGGATCAAGGACTGTGGTGGGGGTGCATGGAGGACAGGTGAGAACAGAAAACCACCCCCCCCCCCCCCCCCCCCCCCCCCCCCCCCCCCCCCCCCCCCCCGCCAACTCCAGAAGCAGGATCCTTTGTCTCATTTCGGGTACACAGTGAATCCTGGAAGCCACCAAGCCTTTTCCTGCTTAGTGGCACAAAGTGAGAACTCACATCTGGGGGCCTGCCCTCAGGGTATGTGAAATGGCAGGCAGGGCCAGAGTCAGCCTGAATGCAGGCAGGTGCCAGTCCAGCCAATATCCATGGGGAGACTGTGTGAATGAGACAGCCCAGTGAACACAAGACCCAGCACAGGGCTCGGCACCCAGGAGGGCCCAGGGGATGTGGATCCCTTGCTCCCATTGTGTGGCTCAGGGAGAAATGCCTTGCCAGAGATCACAGAAGTCGTCAAAGGGGAGCCAGGCCTCCAACCAAAGTGCCTCGAATCCATCTGCTCAGCCACAGGCACTCACTAAGTGCCCACTGTGTCCGGGGGCTGAGGCTTCAAGGTTAACGCTCGTTATCTGTCCTTGTGTGTCAATGCGCATGCCCCATGTGTCTGTTTTGTTTTGTTTTCCATGCAAAGAAAACAAACCCAAGGCAAACACAGCTTGCGTTTCGACATCTCCTGAACCGTGGAAACCAGTAATTCCCCTGGACAGGAAGGACTTCCGGTTGAACTCAGTGTCCACATCCAGAGGCAGCTGGCTGCTGAGAGCCTGGGAGAGAGCAGAGTCCACCGCAGAAAGGGGCGTTGGGGGACCCAGAGAGGACAGCCCAACTCTGGGCACACCCCTGCCTCCCTTCAAAGCTGACGCCCTCCCTGACCCCGCCTTGTTTCTGTCTGGGCCAAAGTTGAGGCCCCAGTGGGGAAGAGCTTACTTGAGGTCACCCAGTGAGCAGGTGGCAGAGCCAGGATCTGAACCACGAGTTCTCACCCCTCAGTGCAGTGTTGCAGAGACAGAGTTGAGGCTCAGCCCCAGGCAGCAAGCTGCACCCACAGTTACAAAGGTAGGGCAAGGAGTGAGGGCCCCACGGCTGAGGTGGTCTCAAGGGCAGGTAACTCCAACCCCCAAAGGCCTTCGTGTAAGGAGCCCTCTCAGTGCCTGCTGCAGACGCAGGGAAGGGAGGCCAGGCCAGTGCCCTGGGCCTGGGGGTAGAGAGGGCTCAGGTGTTCAACCAGCCCTCCCTCTCCCACCGGCACCAGAAGCACTGGGAGCCCAGAGCCCCCTCTCAGAGTGTGTGATGTGGAGCCTCTGAGTCCTTGTCTGTGAGTTGGGGGCATTCAGGACGCACTTGCAGGCTCCAGTAGACCCTGCCCAGTTCTGCATGTGGCAGATGCTCCGTGATGGCTGCTTCTCTTCCCACTGGGCCCAACTGCGATGTCACAGTTCCTCACACCAGGAGTCTGGGCCCAGGCAACCATCGGGGTTCTGCACTGGGTCCTGGCAACAGGCCCACATCTCTCCAGTCTCTCGGGCCTCATGCATCCTCCTAACAGTCAGGGCAGGAGCCAAGGCAGGGAATATGTCAATATGGCAGGTGGGGAAACTGAGGACCAGAGAAGGCCCTGATGCCCAAGACTCACAAACAGGGTCCTCCACTGCACCCTCTGACCTACGCACTCTATGCTGTTTCTGATCCTGATGAGAGGCTCTGAGTGAATTTCCACGAGACCATTCAGGCCTTCAGCAAACCATGCGCATTTCCTCAGGGCTAGCTCCAGTGCTCAGAGCTGGATGAGCAGGGGAGACAGGCCCCCGCTTGCCCTCAGACATCCTGACCCCAGCTCCCTACAGACTGGGAAACCTAGGGTCACGCATCCAAATGCCACCCTGAGCTGCCCCCTGGCCTGGCTCCCCCATGGTGTTTAGGAGGGAAGAAGAGGCAGGAGGAGCTGAGACGAGGGAGGCAATGGGCTGGGGGAAGGCTCATGAGTCCGGTGTCTGGTTGTTCCCCAGAGCTCTGGCCGGAGCCAGGAACAGCCTGTCCTTGGGCACAAAGGACTCTCTAAACAACACCCACCAACATTTATCCAGAGATGTTAGAGGCCCTTTGCTTACCCCACCCCCCAACTCTCACACTCACACTCACATTCGCATACCTATTTGCGTATACTAACACGCATTCACACACACACACACACTCACAGCTGCAGTCCATTGGGAGTCCCCTGCGGATGGGGAGCACTGGGGCAGCCTGTGTCCATAAGCCTGAGCCCCCAGGCCAGCCCCCCTCCCTAACCCCTCTTAGCCCAGGGCCCCTTTCAGGGAGGAGGAAACTCTGACCCAGAAGGTAATAGAATTCATGTGAATCTATCTGCCTGTCTCTTTCCCACAGCCCATGAGTCCCTCACCAGGAGCTGGGGACCCCAGAACCCTCAGGTGGGTGAGAGAAGCCAAGCCCCAACCCTTGGCTCAACTCAGTGAGAACAATCTATCTTCGTGTCTCACACAGTTGAGAGAATTCATGTTTTGTCAGCTGTGATGATAGCATTGAGGTTGCGTCAAACTGTCCTCGTCTATCAGATGCTGGAGTCTACATGGGTGAAGTCAGATGGTCCCTGGGCTTTATTTTCAAACAATCCAGAATATAGGGTGGAGGGTTGTTGAAAGGAGACTGGTGAAATGATGACTATGGCTGAAGTGGGGAGACGGAACCCTGGGGCGTCCGTGTACTCAACTCTCCTTCTGTGTGTGTTCCACTCCTCGGCAGGAGAGGAGCTGGCAGGGGAGCCAGGCCAAAGAGGTGCACCCCAGCAAAGTTGCGGGGGTCCCCGGACACATGTTCACACACACCCAGCACCCTCCACAGTCCTCCAGGGGGGCTGCTTGGGCTTTATCTATGCATCTCCAGTGCCAGTGTGGCCCGGCACATGGTAGTGTTAAGTGTGGAATAAATGAGTAAACAAGATCCAGCCAGCATCCATTGAGACCTCCGGCATGCCTGCCATTGGGCTACCTGGTTTACCTGCATCATCACGTTTGATCCTTGCAATAACCCCAGGAGGCAGGTGCTAAGGTGAGTACCATTTCACAGATGGGGAAGCTGAAGTTCAGGGAAGTTGAGTGACTTGTCCAAGATCATATAGCTAGCAAGAGGAGACTGGGCACACTCCTGGAGCCACTTGCCACCCCTCACCCCCAGGGCTATGTCAGGTCCAGGGGCCTAACCCCCACCTCCTGCAGCTGTGCCACCCTCCCTGAGAGCCAGGCAGCTGGCTGGCTTCCCTCAGCCCCTTCCACTGCCCTGGGCCCCTCACACCTGCCCAGGCCCGGCCTGCCAACCTTCCCGCAGCAGCTCAGAGCTGGTAACCATCCAGTGCAGGCCCCACGGTGGTTATTGCAGGCCTATGTGGAAGCCAGAACCCAGGCCCAGTTCCCCTCCAGGGCTCCCAACCCTCCCTCCACCTCTGTCCTTGAAGTTTCCAGGAGTCCCTTTCCCAGGTTTGGGGGAGCCCTGCCCCTGCCTCCACTGCGTCCAGGGCGAGCCAGGCTAGGCACCTCTGCTGCTCTCCCTGAACGCTCTCTCATCCTTCCCCTCCCTGCCCAGCCCACAGCCTCCTGGAGCCCTGTACTCAGGGAGCCCTGTACTCCCACATCCTCCTTCTTGGTCCAGGAGGTGAAGATGGCCTTTCTCCGCACTACAAGCTGGGAGCTGAGCAGCATTCTCCTCTACCACCTTCTCAAAATCCCCTGACTACCACCTCTGGTCACTCCTTGAGGTCAGGGCCAGCCCCCACAGCCCCTCCACACCCAGCTTCTGCAGCCTAGAGGGCAATTTGGGGTCCAAGTCCTGCCTTGTCTGTCCAGGATCACGGCACCTGCTGCAACCTCCATCTCTGCCTCCCCACCCTCATACTGGCAAGGAC